CCCCAAAACCCCAAAACCCCAAAACCCCAAATATGGACAGTTTAATTGAAATTAGAACAAATCCTCAATAATTTTTGATACAGTATGAAGGTATTGAACCATGTCTTCTTTCTCTATGATCTTTAGCCCTCCATCATCGGAATCAGAGTCAGTGCCTAATGTCATATCATGATTGAAAGACTCTTCTTCAGGAATACCTCAATTAGGAGAGATCTTTATTATATTTTTGGTAGGCTTGCCATACGATTGGTTTAGAGATGTTATCTTAGTTTCATCTATTTTTACATTACAAAACATACTAGCTTCTTCTAACTGAGCGATATATCTATTTTTGGATTTTATTTTCTCTTGAAGTTCGTCATAATTAGACCTAAGAGTGCCTAGTTGACTTTTCAGCTCAATAATGCTTTGCTTATCAGCGGTTTTGATAGGGTTAGCCTCACTTCTTAATCTAACAGGGCTTTCTGAGCTATTTTTCTGGAGACTAATAATCTCGCCTAAATATCAGAATGGATATCTTACTATTTGTTCTACTCAGATTGTATGTATCATAATCATTAGGAACACTAGGAAGTCGTTGGTTAAAGAACTGGAGATCTTCTTCATCAATCAAGCTATCATTATTCTCCTTGTTAAAATATGATTTGCCATCACTAATCATATTTTCTGCATATTCTATCACTCTAGGGTCAGAATTTTTACCCTTCATCGAGGTCAAAAGATTAATGACATAGGTATATCTAGTCTGTAACTTAGTTACTTCCTCCTTATTCTGCAGCAAAGTTTGGAGAAATTCATTATCTTGGTCGAACTTCTGGATCTTGTTCTCATAATCTGAAAGCTTAACCTTAAACTTGAGTATTTCTTCCTGAAGGGCTGATATTTTCCTAATATCTTCTGGTAGAGACTTTTGTAGTGCCTCTTCTTTCTCTTTGGCTTCTTTACTGAGGATATCCTTCATGAATGAAATTTCATCCTGAAGTCTCCTAATATCATCATCTTTAGATTTGTTCTTTGTTTTCAAAGAATGAATAGATGTGCGAAGCTCATCGATGGTACTTAGAAAATGTTCATTATTCGTCTTGGACTTTTTCAGCTCGTTTTGGGTTGTTCAACAGTCAGATTTATACTTTTCAAGCTCTTTCTTCAACTTCTCAAGGTCAAATCTGCTAATATTTACCTCTCCCTCGGCAATCTTAAGGTTGTTCTTTACAATAGTCATCTCTTTTTTTGTATCAGTATAATTTATCTTAGTAATATTAGATTCTTCCTGAAGCTTTTTGTTGAGAGATTTGTATTTCTCAACTTCAGAATTTAGATTTTTAACATGCTCTTCTAGTTTATCTATCTTAAGAAGTAAGCTTTCAAGTTCGAGTTTGTATTTAAACTCTAATTGCTCCCTCTCTTGAGGATCTGGGAGTTGTGACTCAGAATTCTGCCTTCAAAAAGTAGCTTCGGTCTGATTCTCTGTAAGTGTCTTTGCGCAATTAGAAAGTTCTTGGTCCTTTATGATCAGTTTCTGGTCTAGAATCTTAACTTCTTTGGCATATGTCTCCAGTTTCTCACTAAGAGATTTGTTATGACTGTGCAAAGTATCGATCTGCTCTTCTTGGATGTTATTCAGACGCTTAAGTTCATCAATCTGGGTCTAAATAAGACATTAGAGAGGATATCATCTTACAATATAGATGCTTGGGTCTATATCTTGGACAATTTTTGAGTATTTTTCCTTCTCCTTGACCAAATTTTCGTATTCTGTTGACATATTTCCAACAATTCCTTCTATTAGGGAAACAAATTTAGTTTTGTTGTTTTCAACCTGAGTTGCAAATGAGTCCAAGCCAAGATCTCTTTCGTTTACTTGAGTTTCAATATGTGAAAATTCTGATCTTCTTGGAGTAAATACTTCGATATCGTACGCTTTCCTGGAATAGTATTAGATTGAAGTTAGAAGATTAAGGAGAATTTTCTACCAGAATTAATAGAAAGAAAGAAAATACTAGCAAAAATACTCACATATAGCTCTCCTGAGTCTCAGAAGGAGTCATAATTTTAGCATTTATAGGCTTCTCATTGGATTTCTGCATGCTGCTCTTCCTCCTATTTTTAGACTTCTTTCTGACTCTAGCAGACTTCAAAGCAGTTTTAGGCTCCTTATTATTTTCACTGAACTCAAACTTTACATCCTTTCCTATACTTCTTCATGTGCTTAAGTTTGGGCGTCGAAATAGTCCGAGGGGTCTTCTTCCCGGTCTCTTTAGAGGCACTATACATATTTATTTCAATAATTTCTCTAAAATTTGGGGTTTTGGGGTTTTGGGGTTTTGGGGTTTTGGGG